TTCGTTACAAGTTCCACAGTTGGAGGCAGCCAAAGAGTCGGAGGAGTCGCATCCATCCCTGTGGCTGCTTTGTTCAACAGCAAAATGCAATAATTGTTCAAGTGGGAAAACCAATGTTGTGGTGCCTTGTCCAGCGGCTGCTGCACCTTCCACTTGGAGTGAGGAATTCCTGCCCTGCAATTTGTACAAATAAATGTTGTAGTGGGAAATCTTATGATCCCATAGAGTGTCCCCCTGCCAGGAGCCCATTTCGATACGCCCGAAAGTTGATTCCGTTTCCCACTCTCGCCCAATCCTTTGGGGGGTGGCACGGCTCAATCTGAATGCTTTACGCTCCATATGCCACGTGCGTCGTTGCCCCCCCCAAAGTCATTTTAAAATTTAAGAAGACAAACACACAGCCGCAAAAAAAGAAACAAGGAAAACCAAGTCAAATTCCTGGTATAAAATTCATTGAAAAATTTTATGCAACATAAATTTTGCGTGCAGGATTTGCCTGGCCATCGACCAGGACAACCACAAGGATACAATATCCCCTGGCAGGCAGGACGGGGGATAGACTCAATCACATGCAAGTGGACCAACCAACTGCGGGTGTGCGTGTGTGTCTGTGTATCATTTCAATTTTAAAACCAAACGAGCGTCGACCCGTGCGACCCTTGCCACCCTCCCTACCATCGAGAGCCAGGCGCAGGAAGCAAACGAAGAAAGGAGAGTGGAACGGACCAGCGGATACCCTGTAATCGGTGCCACTGCGGAGGCAATAAATGCAATAAATCTGTGCTGATTTTGCTCCTTAACCGAATCTGTGCTCAAATTCCAACTTTATTTTGAACTAATTACATTTTTGATCCATCTAAACCATTTTTTTAGCACATTTCCTTTTACACCCCGCCAAAAGGAATATTCCCCTTCGCGTTCTTCATTTAAAAGGTAACAGAAACACGCACACACACACATACACACACAAATGCCGCCCCCCGAAACCGCTTAAGAAGGAATGCCGCCTGGCCCGGCACACGGCAGGACTTTCAACGACAACGGGACATTGGGTTGCCCTGTCCTTGTCCTTGTCCTTGTGCCTGGTCCTTGTCCGTTTCTTGTTGCTCGATTTTTGGTTTTTGGGTTTTTTTACTTTTCCTTTTGGTCGTTTGTCGGTTTTTATGGCTTTTTGATTTGCCATTTCTGGTAGCAAATGATCAAAAATTGAATGAAATTGTTATTTTCAAGTGGAACATGTCCTTTTTACAACCAAAGGAAACGAAGAAGAAACTTTTCAAGATTGAGGGCTCGACATCGCTGCTCCACCTCCTCGGCGGGTTTTTGTTGCGGGCTGTTAGCCTTAATAAGAGGCATCATCGGTCACGGCAGAGAGGGGTGGAGGAGCAGCGACTCGGGGATGGGTGTGGGGGAAGGGATCTGCCTCCACGAACCAAGGACAGATCGTGAGACATTCGGCATTTAAATCTTCATGTTCATATCCTTTTGTCGTTTCATTTGGAAATTGAAAAATTTCCAAGCGATAAAATTTTATCATACCCATTGCCAAGGCACATCCCAAAATGTCACAGCAAGAAGGAGTCACATGAGGAGTCCTCCTGTCATGTGTGCTCCGTGCTGGCAGGTGCCTGGAGCTCTGCCTGCAGCTCTCGCGGGATCCTTGGCAATGACAATGAAATGCTTCCCCGCAGTCTGCGACCGAAAACAATTAAAATATTTGCTTAAATTACATTTACACATTTACTCTCGAATGGTAATGCGATGGCAGTGGCAGTGGCAGTGGAAGTGGGAGTGGAGGTCTAGGCTTTGGATGTAGATGAGTCTCCCTGCACTGCCATCACCCATCACCCACCATCACCCACCATCCGCCAACCATTCCACATACAACAACGTGAGGCTGCACAATGTTAATTATGAATTTATGATCCAATATTTATTGCCAATAAGCCCCAGCAGGCGACGCACAAAAGTAGTAACTAAACCACTGACCAAGCAACCCCCCGCAACCGGATGCGAATGCGGGTTGTCCACAACTTAACCCACTGATGCGTCGCTAATGAACTTTTGTCATCGTCGCAGGCATCCCAGACATCCCACAATCAGATATATGCCACACATGGCGACACTCATGTGAGTCCGGCTGTACGTGCTGCTCTCGGGGGGTTGCCAATCTTTCGTGGGGCCTTGCTTCAAGTGTATCGGCTGGGAAAGGAATTAAACATTTAATATAATTTATAGATGAATATATAAGCATTAATTCACGAGTCCTGAACCCCGAAGCGATGTTGATTTTTGTCTCTCAATTCAAATTCACATTTTTGTCCTAAAAGTTGGCTACAAAATGTTGAAGAATTTTGTGCACAGTTCGTGTTGCTCCTCCGACTTGTGTTCTCCTACATAAAGCGAGAGACTTGACCGACTGTATAGAGAAATTCGGGTCCGTCATTCGCTCCCAACAAAGGGTCACCTGGGCCAAGTGGCTGAGGCTGAGGCTGAGGCTGATCCGGGAGGACTGGGGGGTTCATGTTTAACTCCGGCCAGACCGGGACGTTCATGTTTAGCTCAGCAAGATCTTGGAGATTCATGTTTAACTCCGGAATAGCCGGTATGTCCATGTCCACATCCATGGCACCAAAATTGATGGGCGTATTGGGCGCTGTTGGTGGCGGTTGGGGGGTGTTGTTAGCCGAGCGATCGTCGTCATTCTGCATCAAGGGACTCTGCAGCAGCTCGTCATCGGCATCCCCGAATATCATCTGGAAGGTGGCATAGCCGAACTCTTCGTCGGTGAAGGTGCGCGTGGAAACCGCCACGGAGATGGGGCCATTGCCAGGGGCCAACTCACGTAAACCTTCGTTGTTGTCATCCAACTCGAAGGCGAAATGGGAGACGCTCTCAGTGCCGGCATTGGCCAGAGCAGCCTCAGCGGCAATTTCTGTGGAAAAAAAATAGAGACAATAAATCAATAATCAATTGAAGCCACAGCAAATGACAGTCAAAGTTTACATAGCGAATGGAGTGTTGTATTCCGCATGAGGAGTGATTCAACACATCGATTGTCGTTCCGTTTAACCGGGTCGTCGGGGCAGAGGTTGATCGAACCACTTGAGAGCGATCCAAAACTTTTAATAGCTCCCGTTTGAGGTTCGAGCTCCCCGAATCTTTTTTTATGGCATTCCGCTTGTCCGCCATTTGGTGGATTTGTTGCTCGGTCTTGTTTGGCCATGTTTTATGTGTTTCGTTTCCATTGAAAATCCCCAAAGAGCCGAGAAACAAACAACAACAACAACGACAACGACAACAACAACAACAATTATTTGTAAACGGCGGCTGTGACAATTTTTGTCTTTGCGGCGTGGTTCCGTGGAAGTTCCTAAAACACACACAAACCAAAAACACACCGGCGGAAAAAATTAATTGGAAATTTTTATGTCTCAAACATGTTGTAAGCGCTGAGCGGCAGCAGCAGCAACTACAACAACTGCAACAACATGAGAGCAAGTTCGAGGTTAATTGTTTGATTTTCTAACAAAAATATAAATAATTTTTAAGGCCAATCTCGTGAGAGAGCAGCGGAGCAGCGCTACCTAAGAGACACGAGCTGGGGCCACAGGAAATGTTCGGATGGTTTTCGGCTTTCTGTTTCTTATTTTTTTCTGTTTCAATCGCTGCTTAGGTTTAGGTTTTCGGTTTCGGTATCTGCCTTTGAGTCCACTTTTTTCCTCCTCTTTCCCTTTTGTTGCTGTTGCTTGCCAGCTTATTTATTCGAGTGCTTATGTTACTCATTCATCGAGCTGCCGCTTTCCGGAGAGTGTAAACAAAAGTTGGCGATTTATGATTGCCGGCGATCATGCGAAAGCTCAACGGGAAGGAGGTGAAGGCGCATCTCCAATTCTTTTTGGAGGTGACCCCTGCAGGGGATAGACAGTCCCAGCCTCAGAATTAGCCTGAATCCATCTGAATCCTGATTCATCCAGAGCAGGTCAGCAAAGATCTGACCCAGTCAAAGGTTACAAATTAGGAAGGTGACCTCAGCAGGTGCTGGCCAATGCATAGCTCAACCATGCAGAGAATGTCCATGCAGAAATCTATGAAAAGCACATCCAGAGAGAGAGAGAGAGAGAGAGAGAGAGAGTTCTCCACCCCTCCACATGTGCCCCACCCATGCAGAGAATCACACACAAAGAATTTTGAACATCCATGCAGGGCCGAGCTGCACGTGGAAATTTGTACCGAGGATTCGAATTTCCACCAATGCTACCCATTCAGTGCTGACCCCTGGCCTTTGGCCACACTCACCATTTATGTTATCCATCCGATCAGTTAGATTCTCGCTCCCCGTTTGGCTTAGCTGGACACTTCTCTAATAGCTCTAATTTCGCAATAGCTCGGAAAATGATTTATCACTTTTATGCTGCTCTGTTTTGCATTCGCACTTTTTATCAGAAGTTTTGTTTTTGTGGCTCGGTTCCGAATCGACAGACTCATAATCGCGCTCATTCAATACATCGATATTTGGAGCTAGATCCGTTAGATTTCAAAGTGGGGTAGCCCTGTCCCTGGGGCTATCGCGGTTCCCTGGCTCAGCCCTGGTTCGGTTCTGCTCTAGTTCGATAGCGATTGCAGGCCCTCGGCTTATCGGCCGATCGCCAATAAAAAGGCGCCCCCGACAGTGCCCGATCAATCAGTCTATCAGTCTAGCAGTCGTCAGCCATTGTCGTCGTGTCAGTGCCAAAGTTTCGCGAGTTTTGAAAAATAGATGGGAAATACTATGGAAAATGCAAGTGCAGCGCAATTCTAACTCCAAGTCCAAATTGTGTTTACGTCTTGAGCCGTTGATGTGCGCCGGATGCCTCCGAATTTCGATGCGCTAAGCAAAAAAAATCAAAATTAAATAACTTACGCGTCGTGAAGTGTTTCGATTCTGTCTTGAAATTCGGAAATTTCGGTGCTCCCTCTGGGCTTTTGGCCGGGTGTTAGAAATCCCATTAAGCCTGGCAATGGCGCCACAACTGACACACCCGTCGCTGTTGTCCGTGTGGGGATACCTGCGACAAGATCTGTTGCCCTCCCTCCTGCACCGCCTTGTCCGTTGTTGTCCGAATCAGACGCCAAGCCACGTGCGCTGCCAGGAGCAGGAGCAGGAGCAGAACCTGGCGACTTATGTAGCTGGCGTCTACGATTTCCTGTCGCAGGTTAAATGTTTCCCCCGAGACTCGTCTCCCGCCGCACTCGTGCACTTGCACAGGCGACGAATACTCGATAGTTGAGCAGTCTGATCAAACAGTTTTTTATCTACTTTGCATAAAGTCCAATGCGCTCTTAGAGCTTCTCTGGGGTCCATCGATTCTGCCAACAGTTGGGGGTACTTTTCACAGCAAAAGTTATTCAAGCTTTAATGCCCTTTATACATTTTTTCTTTTGTGCAAGAACACTCGAAAGTGACACTGAAATCAAGTGAGTATCTGTGCTGCCGGCACTCAGCTGACAATTGACTGACCTTGGCCCTACGACTCCCAGACTCTTTGCAGATGCCCAATGATGAGCCCCTCGAGCTGGAAGCCCTGGCCAGCACTCTCCAAGCCAGGTATGTGTAATCCTCGTTCCTCGTTCCTCGTTCCTGTCTGCAAGGCTCGATCATTTTCTGCGTAGCGCAGCATTTCTTTTTCTTTTGTGAATGACTCGCACGCGGACTTGGAGTTGGGTTTTTGGTCAGCCAGATAGAGGCAACTCAAGTCGCTTTCGGTTGGGTTTCGGTTTGGTTTGTTTTGTTTTGGATTGTTTATTTAACTTGCACCTCTTCCGGCTGACTGCTGACTACTGCTGCCTCTCCTCCTGCCTCTCCTCCTGCTGCTGCCTTTATGGTTATGGATACAGTAGCCAGTGGCTCTGGCTCTGGCTCTGGATCTGGCTCCGACTTGGATTCGCAGAGAGAGGGAGAGCAACAGTAGCAATGAATTTGCATGTAGTACATGAAAACCGTGATCTCCAATTTGTTGTTGCTGCCTGTTCCCCCCTCCCGCCTGCCCCCTGACTCCTGCCACAGACTCGCATCGGATGGCATGGCCATGGCATGGGGATGGGTCTGGGGATCTTGGGTTTGGGGATGGCTTGACTTGGCTTGGCATGGCGTTGCTTCGAATTGGTTACAGGGCCTGTGCCGTACTTAGCTACATGCCAAAAAGTTTTGTAACATTATTTTAAGGTAGTCGGGCAGGCTGGCTAGCTGGTCGGTGCCTCCATGGAGCCACCTCCCGTTGCACAAGCAAAACGTTGCAAGTTGTCAGGCTTGCCATGGCAAGTTTGCGATCAAGCGACAACAACAGTGACAACAAGAGTCGAGCCGTCGGTGACGGGATGCCCAATGTCCCTGCTCAGTGGCCATTTCTGGCACACACACACACACACACACACTCGCACACTCGCACACACACACATTGTGTGATCTGTGAGGCAGGCTTCTTGGGTTACAGAGCTGTACATCACGTCGCCTTGTACGCCACGTACCATGCACACCCCTTCCATAGCCTTCCCCTCCCCCATTCCCCCATCACCCATCCCACCATCCCACCAGCCAAGCAGCAGCATGCATGAGACTGTGACTGGGCCTGGCTTTTGGTCGCGTCTGAACTTTATTGACCATATTGATTGCTGCTGTATTGATCGCTTGTAACTGATAACCAGCAAATGGTCGGTGCCATGGCGCACAGTGGGACGCTGTGACACACCATGCGAGAAATTTGCTCACAGCCTACAGCCAGCTCCAGCTCCAGCTCCAGCTGCAGCTTCAGCTCCTCCGCACAGCGCTGCTTGCTTTATGATGATGAGCCGAGCGGCTGATTCGTTTGCGTTTATGCCGCGGGGATTTCTCGAGCTTTCAGCTCTTTCCATTCAGCCTCGATGCCCGATCTCTGATTGAACATTTCTGCCTAATGGAGAGTCACATTCCACCGCAGAGATTTTCACGTTCTTGGCTGCGCATAAACGTAGAGCGCATCTAGCGCTGGCTACCGACCTGCTACGAAGCCAGCGGGCGGTGCCAGCTCCAACTCCAGAGACTGTGAGACTGTGCATATTCATAATTTCCAGTTGGGGGATTTATCAATTGCACATCTCAGTCATGAAAACGCATAAACATTTCAAAATGCCTGGCGCGGGTCAATAATTTGACATGAACGAAACAATATGCAGACACGTTCCCAGCGGGCAGGGATAGGGACGGGAACGGGGCGAGATGGCAGCTGGCAGACAAGGGAACGTCCAGCGGTGTATGGAAGCAACTTTTCGCTTACCTTTTGCTGCCCCATTGATGATGTGTGAATAATTGAAAGCGGCAGCAGTTACAGGTTGCCTCTGGCAGGTTGCCCCTGTGGCATGGCCACGGCTTCAACATTTGCTCTGGGGGCGGCAGAGAGACTTTCAAGCCTAGTGGCAGAGTTGTCTACCAACAACAGGCAAGCAAATACTCCAGAATACTTCAAGACCTCGACTCAAGAGAGCAAAAGAGATGCATAGATCAGCGCGAAAAGAGAGAGAGAGGAGAGTGTTCCCTTGTCATGGAATTCAATTTGGCTGCCGGCTGATGTTGAGGGAGTTAGACATGCGCCCACACACACACACACACACACACACACAGACAGACAGACAGATTTTTGCATTTTGTTTTTGATTTTCTGATTTTCTAGATCTTCAGCAAATTTTTGTTTGGAGTGCTCCACCGCCCACATTTTGATTCGTAGGCCCTGGCCATAAAATCTGAAATTTGTGAATTCTCTTCGTTGGCTTTCTCTCGGTTCTGCAGTTCTGCAGTTCTGCAATTTTGTAATTAATTTATTACTTCGCTCTGGCATGGGGCATGCAAAAAATTGTCGCGACTCTGCGATGTGTCAAAACTATTTTTAATTGGTGGCAGCCCCTCGACAGACCAGACAGACAGACCAGACAGACAGACAGACAGACGGACGAGACCCGACCAGACCAGACAATCCCCGCTGATGACCCACGAGGAAGATCGTAAACTGGGAACGAGATCAAAGCAACAGAAATGACTGCCAAAGGAGTTCAGTTTCTATTTTCTGCAGATTTAATTGATATTTCGCGGCGTTGTGTCTGCACTTCACCTCCCACCACATGACTAATGTCCTACTCAATAGACACTAAAGATGCATTACCCAGTCCACAGGCCGCCAGTTTCCCCCCTAAAACCAATCCGATACGATCCAAGCTGATCTGTCGCGGGGAGTATCTGGAAGGGTGGTCTCTCCTCTGCATCCACAATTGCATTTTAATGCAAATTTGGTGTCAACGCAATATCGACCATGACAGCAGCAGCATCCCATCCCAGGCATCAGCGACGGCCTCGAGCATCGCTCGAACGTTGACGCTCACGCACTTTTCTCTCCATCTCCATCTCCGACTCCGACTGCGACTCCACTCGGCTGTCTCTCTCTGGCTCCTTTTGATGGCCTGTTTGCCCTCTCTTTCTGGTGTGTAAGTGGCGGCTGCTGGGTGTTAAAGTGACTGATTAAGTTTGTGCTGTGTTGCTGTTTC